TTTCAAGAACGAGAACACAGTGATTTTTGCAATCTTCGTCCAAAAACCTCGTTTTTGAGAAAAGTCGGTTTTTTCAAGGATTTTGCGATTTTTGACCACAAAATAGCTTATTAAAGGAATACAAAGTAGTGCATCGTGATCAGCGGCTCACGCTCTATCAAACCATGTGCAAAAAAAATAAAAATAAATTTCACTCGATTTTTGCATTGCGTGCACCTTACTGAGCTTTTAAGACTTTACAAGCTCGTTATTGGTTTCGACCATTCCACACGAAACCAAGTCTAGTTTAGTTTAAAATGTTCTAAACTATTCGAAAACTGACGAACCATCGATGCGTCGGCGTGCAATCGCCTGATTCATCAACTTGTCTGCGAAACTAGGAATAGTTTCATAGAAAATTGACGAAACGTCTCATCATACTCCTAAACCGCTGATGGTTCTGTAGACATGTTACAGAACTACGAATGATTTCGCATATCGCATTAAAAACCTGTGGATGGTTTTTGCTACCAATTGCCGAACCTTCTCGACGCTACGGAACTTAAAATAGTTCGGCAGTTCAAGCGCGGAGCATTTTTCGTTTTTCTGAACTTAAAATCGTTCAGTCAAAGTATAGGAAACCTTTTAGGTTCGGTAAAACTCCTTCTGTTTTTTGTGTGCACGGGCCCATAAGTTGCGTCTCGTTTCGAAAGTAATGATTTCAGCATGAACAAGAGATTTGAATTGCTTCTTGCTATGGGGATGCTGGGCGAGTTTGTCGGATCATTGGTACATAGAAAAATCACTTCTGTCTTATACAGTCGAGAATTAAATAAGTCGCAATGACGAACGTTATTTGTGTATTATTTAATTACCTTAACTAAGCGTTGAGCGTGTAAGATTAAATCCGTAAAACGTAGTTCTCCATTCTTTTCAGCACATTCTAGGCCGGTTTTCATTTCCTTTAGTTCGCCATTAGGCAGTTGTATAAGACCATGTTGAGAATGTCTCCTCGGTGTACACTGTGCAATTGCTGCAATGAGTTTCTTTTGTAGTTGTTCACGTTCGAACACATTACTGCCATTGATATGATCCAAAAAACAAGCTTTGACATTCGGAATTTTTCAATAGCCTTGCAGTTTGACTGTTGTGTCGATTTCATAGTTGGTCGAACGTTGCCGTGGTAAGTCATTCATAATCAACACTAATGATAAGTATTGAAAAGCGAAAACACGATGTAAAGCTTCAAACGCTGCTCGATCTTCATTACGGATACGACCACCCTCACGCCCGTTGAAAACAAAGACAACAACCGAATTTGGAAACTGCTGAAATGCCTTATAAATCTCTTGTTTACTACGATCAACAGCAGATAGATCATCTTCGAGAAGACCCGGCAAGTCAACTACAGAGTATAGTGTTTGTCCGAGAGTAGTTGTTTGAAATTGTATATGATGTGTCACTGAAGATGGGCTGCATTCGTGTTGAAATGAACCATGACCCGAGAGAATATTACCTAAGAATGATTTTCCAACACCGATATTACGAAGCAAAATCAGGCCATTTGTTGATTCACTCGAAACTTGATGCCACCAAAACATAATTTCACCCAATTACAATAGACTTCTCTTCGAAGATTGCTATTACATTATATACGCAACACTGAAGTAAATGTACCCCCGTGTTATTCAATTGGTGGTTGGTTTTTTCGATATACATTGCTCAGTAAATTCCAACGTAAAAATATCGAACGATAATCACAAACTTGCAAGGATGAGTCATAGTATTTGTCATGTGAAACATGATATTGGACGTCGGACTTCTTATCAGAATAAACACCAGTAGCTCCTTTCTCGTGCTTGTTCCAATAACGCAGAAAAACGAACTACGATAAGATGCATCAATATTTTTCTTCCTTCTTTGGCACAGAGAGAGATTAGTTCACTGCTTTTCGAAATCTACTTAGGTGTATCCAAAAGTAATGTCGCCACTACCTTATTTTCTTACTGAATGGTCAAAAAGAATTTTCTTTTCGCAGAGAGATAGAGAAAATGAAACTGCATTTTTCTATGCTATTTCATCGTGTTCAACTAAGTGTCATATAAACGAAATTTCGAGCAG